AATTATCTATGTAGAGATACTGCTTGCAAACCAATGATGTAAGATGATGTCATGGGGTAGGACTGGATAAGTCTGACTTCTTCCTACTCCATTCAAGCATGTACTAGGTATAAGCAAATTGATATTGGATTAGCATTTGTTGGATATGTGTAAAATTATGTGTGTTGACATATCAACTGTCTTTACATGCTTGAAAGAATAAATCAAATCAAAAAAATCTTCACTAATGAGCAGCGGGTCTCAGACACTGGCACCAGTCCTGAACTTTGCAATCACAGAAATAACCTTTTGCTTGTTTCAGCACAAAGGTGCATTTGTTACCTTGGAAACAACAGCCTGGCAAAATAAAGTCAACACAGGGTTAATTTATTTGGTGCCTAGCAATGCTCAGCCAAATCTTGTGGCCTTCAGGTCATGGGATATAACTGAATGCTTAGAGAAAACCATGTAAGTGGGCCTCCTGTTCACATTTTGTCTTTTTACATTTGCTTTATGCTTATTTTTACACTGAAATTAGTTATTTCTCCACATAAGCAAATGAACAATTAGGAATCATAAGTAGAACATCTCATTAAATCCTAAACAATACAGTTACCGGTAGTATGTAGTGACATACTAAACTATACTGCTGCAAAAGGAAATACACATATAGTTAAAGCAAACAGATGATATTTAATAGTTTTCTTGATAATACAGACAGATGCCATGATTTGGTGCAAATACAAACTTGATATTAAGCTAGTTAATGGTTCTAAAATTACAAGCTAATAAATCTGTCTTTAAAATGCCAACGACGCAGCATGAAGAAATACCAAATGTTACTTCTGTTCAGTGGTGTTTTTTTTAATATATAATGATAACATACATCGGAGGCTGTGTGCAAAAAGTAGACAGCAGATAAAAGTATAGCAAGGACATATGTCATAAGATATTGATGTCGGAACTGCATTTGCATTCAGGTGCCCATATCATTCTCATCCCCTGGAGGTAATAGGGTTGCATGAAGCCTTAATGGAGTAGGTGGTTTAGGCTAATGAAGACAGAAGAACAACTAACACACTGGTAGGTTCATGATTACTTCAGTATAAAAGGCACTATGCATGGTTTTATCAACACAGGAAAATGATTTTTTTTCCATCTACTGGACATCGTAGCTGATGGATTTGGTTCCAATATTCCACCACCCAAATATGATTTATACAAACGTCTTTTCATGGATGGTTACCTGCCAAATTTGCTGGCTGAGTTGAAGCACTTACAAACATCTAACTAGTGTTTATATCGGCCTTTGATTTAAAAATGTTTCTACAGCTGATAACTGCCTACACACTAGCACAGATTCTCCACACATCTGTAGGTGCATCCTTGTGTGTATAGTTAGTGTACCCTGTTGATGCCATATCTTCTTTCTGCCCCTTACTTTGCTTCCAGCAGGCTGTAGGTTAGTTGCCGTTGGGGGCAAGACTGTGAGTTTGAAAGTCAAGTTTCTGCTGAAGGATCCCTGTGAGAATGAACTCAGCAGTGACAACTGGGAGAGATGCAGAGACGGCTGGGCGACACAGCGGCCAGTCCTCTTCGCAGGAAATCACAACTGTATGGGGCTAAGACAGAGCAAGGTGAAAGTAAATTATCTGAGATCCAGGTGCAAGTTGGAATGATAAAATGTGAGGACAAACTGCCATAATTTGATTTGCTTCATGTGAAATATGAGAAAAACTCTAAGTTCGGTTGGTACCTTGTGAGATGAGGGCATCTTAGGTAGAAAGGTAGCTCCACTGCAGGAGATTATTTCTTTCATGTGAACTGGCTCTGGCTTTACTGATTTTGTAACGTGGATCTTATATCCCTAGGAGAAACGGAAAGAATACAAGATACTGTATATAGCATACAATGTGTAAACAAATATGATTCTCTATTTTTATTCTGCAAGACCTCCTCAAGAAATCAATTTTAATAGCACTTGGGAATGGATTTTGGCATTACACTAATATAGTGTTCCCTCCTTTTAGCTGATATCAGCATAACATGGTATCAGACTCTTTGCAACTTTGGAAATATAGTGAAGGGTAGGAAGACTATGTAACAATAGAAAAAAACTATTGTCTCCTTCCTTAGGTGAAGTTCCCATAAACACAACCAGTAAATGTCAAATTACTTCTCACAAGTCACAGTGTAATAGTAAACAAGTGACACAGTACTCTTGTAGAAATGTGAGCATGTTATAAGCAATGCTGAGGGATTCATGTCTGTTATAGGCTCAGGATGACTCTAACAAAAAAATTTCTGGATTCCCACCATGACTCACTATTGCACAGTGTCAATATTACCCAGCACTTTGTGCCAAGGAGAATACCACACTGTCAACCTCACAGTCAGATAAAAAAATATAAATAGAGAAATATATGAGATGAGTGACTTAGAGAGTACCTGTGTATTGTACAGAGTGTACAGAGTACCTGTAAGAGAGGCTGACTGCTGGCAGTCCCCAGAGACTCCTGTAGGCAGAAACTGAACTTCTTTTCCTGCTCTGAATCCTTCACAACAAAAGCATTGGGAGACAGGAAGCTCCCAGCTTTACCACTCTAAGACACCGGGAGAGAAGTGAAACGTGTCTTTATGAGTGTGCTTCTGTCTCTGTGTAGTATGTGTGCATATATTTACACATCAGTTAGGCAGTTTAACTGCTACTACAGTAACTAACCTTTTCCAGCCAGTCTGTGGTGACTATGGGGACTCCTTTAGCCACCGCACACAGTAACTTGACAGTCCTGCGCACTTTATCAGTCACCAAACAGTTCATGTCTGTCACACCTTTAGCCATGCTGCCACCTAAACGAGCCAACACTCTCTCCAGTGTTTCATCCGCCACACCTGTGAACAGGACCTGAGGGAATAACAGACACACATTTTTGTTATTTTAAGTATTCCCAGGTCAAAACTAAAGTTTTTCTCTGGTCTAAAGTCATGCTAACTCAAGAGGCATATTTTCTGGTAATGCATCATCTAGTTTGTAAGAATGGAGGTGTTGAAAATAATGTTTCTATCCCTGTAAGTAAAGCAAAGTGTTATGCATTTTGAAGCAATTATCTGTGGTTAACTCAAACTAGATAATGAATGTGACACTTTCTTGCCATGGATTACAGGCCAAGATTTAAGAGGTGATTAGCTTAGCCTAGTACGACAGAAACAGGGAAACAGCTAACATAGTTCTGTCCAAAGATGAACAAAAACACCTAGCAATACCTCTAAAGTTCTGAAATTCATACATCGACAAGTAAAAATGACAATGTGTGCTTTTACAGGGTGTCATGTCCTCAGACTATTTTTGGCAAACAGCTGCCAGGGGCAGTGACTTTCATGAATCTTGTCATTGCTACGATGTTGCAGAGACATTTACCTCTTCACAAAACCATAAATCATTTCTACTTTTCAGAAACAGGGTATTCATTAAGTCAGTTTTAAAAGCATTGGCAGGTGTGTTTTTGAACTTTGGAGAGAGCCAGTTTAGCTGTTTGCCCCTTCTTCCAATAGCTATATGAAGCTAGGCTAACTGCAGCCTGGCTCTAGGCCCACACATAACAGACAGATGTGAGAGTGGTATCAGGGTTTTCTTCTAACTCTCTGCAAGAAAGTGGATGTATATTTTGCTATTTTTATTCTCCTAAAATATGTTTGTCATTATGATTAAATGTCCCTTGTGTGCACAATTTTTTCTGACAAAAATGCCTGCAGGTTTACAAAGACAAACCCATCCACAAACACACAGACCTTGTAAGCCTGGCTGGCAGTTCGCAGTTGACAACTAGCTGCAGGGGAGGCAGAGGAGCAGCGACGAGTCTTTGCCACAGGAGAGGAGTCCGCAGGAGCCTGTCGCTTCTGGGATACACCCTTAGCTGGAGTCCGGGGCTGTTAAATGAGAGGCAGGGAGGAGGAGGAGAAGGGATGGAGTAAGAATAACCAAAACAAAGCAAGAATGAAGACAGACAAGGGCAAAGCATGAAACACACAAATAGAATGATGAGGATAAGATGATTAAGAAAGCAAGGACGTAAGAGTGGGAAATCACTGTGTGACCACTAAACCACTTAATTCATTATTGTATTAATAGTCAGACTGCTCCTGTTTCTGAGAGAGTGGGAGAGACTTCAACTGATGTTGATTGCAGCACATTATGATGGTGGGAAAGGCTGACTCATAAAAAGAAATGCACCAGTGCCTTTGGCTGTGGTAAAATCCTTCCATTTCAAGGACAGAAGTTCCTGACACTAATCACACAGTCCTCCGCTTTCTTTTCTGTCTGATTTATGTTTCATTCTTAATGTGTTTTTGTTTCAATGAAAACAATTTCTAACACCTTAACATTTCAAATGGATGTTTAAAAGTGAAGTACTTAAATACTAAGTCACCTCTGATGTGCTCACTTCTGCATTCCGGTTAATGGATCTGACAGATGTTCCACTGTCTTCTTGCTCATCTTTCTTCTTTTGCTGGGCAGCGGATGGCCGACCTCTGGTTCTCTTCTCAACAGTCTCCACCTCCATTTTCTCACTTTTGTCCTTCACCTCTACTTCAGGGGGAGAGTTTTGTGCATTCTTCTTTGTTTGAGCACTGGATGCTCTACCTCTTCTGTTAGCTTGGATGGGATTCTCATCTCTTGTTTCCTCTTTACCTTCTTCCTCTGCTGCTTTTGTTGTTAGGATTTTCACTTTCCCTTTGGAGCTACAGCTCAGGTCTGCCTCAGTATTTTGTGGCAACTCTCTCCTTCTTCCTTTTCTTTTGTCTTTAGTTTCATCGTTATCACTGACTGCAGAAGCTCCTGTTGTCTCGGCAGTTTCACTCTTTGCTGCTTTCTGGCCTCTGCGCCCGACTTTCCCTTTAGCCAGATGTGATTCCTCATTAGTATGAACTTTTTTCTGATTTAACTGTTCTTCCTCTGTAGCTGTAGGTTCAGAGCCATCTGTACCAGCTCGCCCTCGCCCCCTTGTGGAACTCGCCTGCTGAGAATCTGCCTTGTCTTTATCGTCTCTGTGAGAAACCTCATTAGAAGTGTTCCTACTCTTCTGACCTCTGGCTGCAGGTTTGGGAGCTGAAGTCTGGTCCCTGTGACTATTGACACTGCTGTCTGGTTTGGGCTCTGTTTTCCTCCTTCTTCCTTTGCTTTGAGAGCTCACACTGCAGTTGGAAATCTCAGAGTTGAGAGAACTGGAGGAGGTAGACCTTGAAAGGACTCCTTGTGGAGAAATATCATTACTGTTCTGTTCTGTTGGCATTGCTACAGTGCTCCTCCTATTGCGGCTCCTGGTGGTGGCTGCCTGGGGCAGCTCACTGGTCCTTACTCCTCTGCCTCGACCTCTTCCCCTACTCTCCAGGGTGGTGATGCTTGAAGCAGATCGCTCAGAGCTAACAGAGCTGGAGCGAGATCTGGTTCTCCTTGCTGGGACATCATCACTGGTTAATATGGCTGAGTCTTGTTGTGCTTCTGTGGCAATTGTTCTTCTGGTTGCTCTTTGACCTCTTGTAGGCACTTTGTTTTCTTGTAGCTCTTTGATTTGTTTTTCTTTGTCATCTTTTTCTTTCTCCAGTTGTTCTCTTTTTTCCCTTTCAGTTACTTCCCTCTGTTTTGCTTGGCGTTCTTGTTCCTTTCTTTCCCTCTGAAGTTCTTCTAATTCCCTCTTTTCAGTCTCCAGTCTTTCTTCCTGTTCCTTTCTTTCCTTCTCCTCTCTCAATTTCTCCTTCTCTTCTCTTTCTGCCTTTTCATGCTCTAATCTTTCTTTTTCTTCAGTCTCTTTTCTAACCCTCTTAAATTGTTCTTCTTTTTCCTTCTGATCCAATCTTTCATTTTGCTTCTTCCTCTCTTTCTCTACCCTTGCCTGTTCAGGTTTTGTCCTCTCCGCATGTTCAGCCTGCAGTCTTTCTTGTTCTTCCTTCTCTTTTATTTCCCTTTCTACTATTTCTTGTTCTTCCCTTCTCTGCTGCCTCTCCATCTCCTCCTGTTCCTTTTCTCTTTCGTTGATCTCCCTATTTTTCTTCTCCATTTTGTCTCTCTGTTGTCTGAGGTTTGCAACATCTTTCACATCTCCCAATCTACTTAATCTTCCCCTTGTCCCGCTTTTATTTCTAAGAGAGAGTCCACTGGTTCCAGCTTCAGACTGTCTCCCCCTTCCTCTTTTAGGCCGTTCAGCAGCTTTTGTTTCCAAAGACTGAGCTTCAACAGTAGAGACTGCAGAATTTGTGAGTGGCTGCATCTCCTCTTTTTCAAGGTGAAGAAGTTTTGCTTTCCTTTTTCGTGCACCTGAAATCAAGGCCCCTTCATCACTTTGATCATCTTCACATGCACCCATGGGCTGAGTTTCAGAAGCAAAGACTTCAGAATTGCTGGAGGGCTGTGTCTCCTCTTCAAGTTGCAGTGGTTTTGCTTTTCTTTTTCTTCGAGAAACTGGAAATGAGTCTTCTTTATCACCGTCTTCAACTCCACTTGCAACCACTGGCTGAGTTTCAATAATAGAGAGGTCAGAGTTTGTAAGAGCTTGTGTCTTCTCTTCTTCACTTTGTAGTCCCTTTCCTTTTCTTTGTTCCAAACCTGGAACCAAGTCCTCAACATCACTTTCCTCATTTCCACTTGTAGCCATGGGCTGAGTTTCAGCAAGACCAAACTGCATGGGCTGGGTTTCAACAGTTGATAATGCAGAACTAGTGAGGGGCTGCACCGCCTCTTCAAGTTGCAGTGGTTTTGCTTTTCTTTTTCTTTGACAAACTGGAAACGAGTCTTCTTCATCACTATCTCCAACTCCACCTACATCCATTGGGTGAGTTTCAACAGCAGAGACGTCAGAGTTTGTAAGAGCGTGTGTCTTCTCTTCTTTGCATCGTAGTTGCTTTCCTTTTCTTTTTTCCAAACCTGGAACCAAGTCCTCAACATCACTTTCCTCATTTCCACTTGTAGCCATGGGCTGAGTTTCAGCAAGACCAAACTGCATGGGCTGAATTTTTTCAACCAATAACACAGAATTAGTGAAGGACTGTGTCTTCTCCTCTTCAAGCTGCAGTGACTTTGCTTTTGTTTTTCGTGGACCTGAAATTGAGTCCTCGTCATCACAAGTATGCATGGGCTGAATTTCAACTAAAGAGAGAGCTTCACTAAAGGTTTTCTGCTGAGGTTGAGCTGCTTCCCTAGATTTTTCCCTCTCTTCCATTTCATTCTGTGTTCTGTGCTTCACTTGTAGTACAGAGGAAACAAATTTGTCTGCTGCCAAACTTTCTTCTTCAAAGGCAGATGTTGGTTGGGTTTCAGTTATACCAAGAGTAGATGAGGTGGGCAGGTCTAAAGGCTGTGTCTCAACATTGGTGTTTTTTCTCTCATCTTCATCTGTTGTGCCCGCTGACTCACTGCAGGACTCTAAAATGTATGCCTGTGTTGCGTCTAGGGACATATCTTCCTGACCTTCTTTTTCTGACATTTCTGAACATCTGACAGGCTTCTCACACTCTCCATAGATCTGTGTAGCATTAATATTTGTAGCGTTCTCCTCAGAGGCTCTGTCTGCTGTTGAGATGGCTGCATATGCTTGGGTATCTTCCAGATTCATACCCTTATTATCAGAGACAAACACCTGTGTGCTCTCAGTAGCCAGAGCCTGGGCCTGACTCTGCAGGTAGCTGCTGTTAGACGGTGCCAGCTGGAAAGACCCTGTTCTCTTGCACTGTTCATCTTTTTCATCACCTGAATGTTCAAGAACAAAGGCTTGGGTGGGTTCCATTGTGTGGTCTGGTGGAGGACTGCCATGGCTGTCTCTGGTCTGAAAAATGAAGGACTGTGTCTCAGCCACAGCAAAGTCCTCATCCTCTTCACTGTCTGAGCAAGAAGAAAGTGCTATAGGTCTTACAGCAGAGGCTATCGCATCATGGAGACAAAAACATTTGGGCAAGGTTAGAATATTTTATATATGTGCTGTTTTAGAACAAATTTATGTGCCAGTGGAATGTATTAACAGTAATTTACTCACATTTCACTGGGAATGCTTGAGTCTTCATATCTTCTAGTCCTCTTTGTGAAGAAATCCCTAATACAAGTAAAAACAGCATATTAAAACATTTTAAATATGATTATGCCTAATGGTAAAAAAAATGCCAATTGATACCGTGGATCAATAACAATATGGTGTGTCATTAAATTGAGAACCCTAGTTACACTTTAACTGGATCACTTAAAAATATGTTTAAAAATCTGCACTTCCTTCAGTGGTTATAATCTATATTTTATAGTACTTGGTTATTTATAAAACAGACATTATGCCATCTATATATTTTGAGTAATAAAAACAATCGTACGTTGGAGCCTGCATTCATTTCATTAAGTTGCCATTTCACTAATTACCTGACATTTGTACAGGAGTAGAGCAGTTAGAAGGAAAGAGAGGAAGCAGCACCCCAGATGTTTCTTCTCTGCACAGGATATGGATCTGGTCGCAACCTGTCGCTGGTATGTCTGCCTCCTTATTCTCCACATCTGTATCACTGTCCACTTTAAGGTCAGCTAGACTGTCCTTGTCCCCAGCAGGGGGCATGCTGGATTTATCCACATCTGTGTCTGCACCAAAAACAGAGTGAGGAGCTGCTGATGTGGTACCAGGAGACAGTGACAAGGTTGTGACATCAACAGGCATAACCAGAGGACAATTGTCCTCCACATCTGTATCACTGTTAGACAGAATATCCAAATCAGTTTCTGCAACTACAGTCGTAAATGTTTCTGTGGTGGCAGACACAACTGAGGGTTCACTTAGGGCAGGAACTGCTTCATTGTTTGTATCATTGTCAAAGTGCAGGCTCTGGTGAGCAGCGGGGGCAGATTTGGGCCCAGGTGACATATCTAATTTAGTGGGAGATGAATCTGTCTTAGAGCTTGATTTATTTGGCCCATGTTCTCTTTCTTTTTCCTCATCAACATCAGTGTCACTGTCTAGGCAGAAATCCTTTGGCTGTGTTGAAAGAGCAAAGTCAGTAGTGTGCGAGCTCTGAAATAATGCAGGTTTTGCATTTGCAGCAGCGTGTGACACAGCAGCATTGTCAGCCACCTCTGTGTCACTGTCCATTGTGATACCTTCATGCTGAATAACTGACATAATATGAGGAGATCTGGTACTGTCATCAGTGGAAGGCACAGTTTTAGAAGCCTTGTCTAGGGCACCTTCATTCTCATCAATATCTGTATCACTGTCCATGTGAAACTGGTCTGTGTTTCCTGGTTGACTGACTTGGTTTGTATTCATAGTCAAAGGACATACAGATGCCACCATTTTCTCCTCCTCCACATCAGTGTCACTGTCCATGTTAAGTGCATGGATCACATCTGTGGAGACTGCTGGTGCTGGAGTAGACACATGCATTTCATCTTCTCGTGTAAGAGTGAGATTGCTTTCCTGTTTCACTGGCAAATATTGTCCAATTTTATCAGATTTTATCCCTCCTGGTGGTAGTTTTAAGTCCTCCATTTCTTCTTGCTCTTCACTGTCATCCACAAGTGCACGTGTATTCTTAGTGGAGGACAATGGTATGATGGGACTGTTAAATGGTGGGAAAAAATGGTGACAGGCATTACAATTAATAAATAGAATAAATTGTATGGAGGCACACACTGACAATGATTGGTTATGCCCCTGAAATATAAACAATTTAAAAAGCCCAAAAAGGTTGCTGCTAATATACCTTTCAGGGATGATTACATTTGTGGAACTGAAGTAGTCTGTAAAAGAAAATAAATATGAGCTTGTAAAAAAATCAGATACAAAAAACAGGGCTTCATCTCTACACATATGTATTTACAAAATGTACATACCTGTTGCCTTGTGTTCTCCTCCTTCTCTTTCTTCATCTGAGTCAGTGTCTGGGACCAGGGTCATCTGTGGTGGGGTTGGAGTTTGGTTAGCCAGCCACAGCCAAAAGGCTCTGACAGGAGTCTTTGTTAATGAGTCCCTAGCCTTTATACCACCACTGACAAATTCCTTGCTTCCTGTGTTTGTGTCACCTACCTTTTCGCTCAAGTCATCTGGCAACCTGGCCTTTATCTTCGTATTTCTGGTCACAGGAGTCCTCATGTCCCTTTGAGAAGAGGCTGTGTTTACAGCACAGCTGACATATTGACATGGTATGTCTGCCAATACCAAATGGTCACCATCACTGAGGGCATAGCGTACATTTGGAGTCAGCTTTAAGTGGCCTTTGCGGGTCCCATTCATGCTCCCTAGGTCCCAAACCAAGGCCTCAATGTCCACTTCACTGTGACAACCTCTTCTCCTGTAAACAGAGATGCTGATGGTAGCATGCTGCTTGGATACTGATGGTGCTGGCAAGGGCAAGGCACAGGAGTTGGGGTCACGGCCCAGCACATTATCTCCAAAAAAGAGGGGCAATTCTGAGTGACAGAGAATATCCATTGTAAGAAATACATGAACAATACCCGTTTGTGCAAGTCAGACAGATTGTGGATAGATTATCAAATCATAGGTGTGGTAACACCAGCTATAAGTTAAGCCACTCACCTGTCTCAGAGATATGTTCGTTTTCCAAGATACATAGTTTGGCCAATGGTCTCCCCCTGTTATTTTCATTCTCCTTCACATTTTCCTCCTCATCTGACTCCAAGATTGAGTCACTGATCAGCTGAGTAGCATCCATGCCAGGGTTAGCTTCTATGTATAGGCAGATACATTTTTTTATTATGCTATAAAGCTAACAGGCATTATTTATGCTTATGAGAGCATAGCCAGACTGATTAGTAATGATATATTATTACGTTACTAGTCAACTCTGTGCATAACCTTTATTGGACATATGTGATGGTAAATGGTCTTATACTTGTATAGCACCTTTCTATGCTTTTACAGCACACTCAAAGCGCTTTCACATTATTCGGCCATTCACCCATTCGCACTCACGCATTCACACACCAGTGACATCACCGGGAGCAACTGGGGGTTCAGTGTCTTACTCAAGGACACCTCGACATGTGATAATTTCTCTTGAAACAGCATCACTTCCCACACTTGCACACTTCCCGTCAGTATAAGAATAACAAAAAAATAGGAAAATGCATGAACCGCTAGTTGGGCAACTTCTAACGTTTATCATAATTTCATATCAAAACAAAACTTACTGCTTATTGTATAATTTAGTCTTTATTGCCAATTATACATATGTTCTCATCTTAAATATTAGGCTATTCGGTTACTAATTTCAAGAAAATTACAATCCTGATTATCTACCAGAGCAATTACGCTACCTCAAAAACTATGCAGAAAGTTTACGCTATAGTGCCATAATTTGACACAACTGCGTGTTAATATTGCTCAAAAAACCTGCACATGCTACTTTGCAATGAAAATGCATTACTTGTTGCTTTCATGTACGCTAAAATCTGCTTTAAAAAAACTAATACCAACCTTCACACACCTCGCCTTCCTTGATGTAGATAAACAAGAATGCACATCCTGGAAAATATTGACAACGCCCCCAAAAGGCGTTTTAACGGGAACCGATTGGTCAGTGTAACCGCACCTCATCCTGAAGTCTGTTGCCATTGGACATTTCAATAAAAACGCTTCTGATTGCACCAAAAATCGCCATGTTCATCCATTTATTTTCGCGCCATAGTTAAAGGGATAACACTCTTTTGTTGCTAATATGCTGTTGCTATGATTAGGTCCCACACATTTTCATTTTTATCTGTTTTTATATTGACTTATTTATGTAAATATGTGTCTTTTAAGCCAAGAGCTGCTGGAAGAAATTTTTTTTGTGCTATGCATAATGACAATAAAGATTCTTGACTTGATTTGACACTGTTGCACAAGGGTTCAGCTGTCTATACAACTTAAAACTGTTTTGTATATCCAGTGTAAACAGTAATAGCCATACGTAGTGCTGTGTTCTTCTCAAACAATTCCACCTTCCTTTTATCTGTCAACAGCTCATTTATTTTCACAGTAGTGGTGTGGGGTGTCAAGGTGGTCTTTAGCAAACTTCAGGTATGCTGCAGTTTTGTTTTCGCATAGCATTTTTGGTGTCCTGCCATGGATACCATGCCTGTTCAATATTTTGCATGTGACTGACTCATGAACAGAGGTGTTAACCAGCTCCAATGAATTCTTCAAGCCTTTAGCTGTTATTCTAGGGCTCTTTTTTTTACCTCACTGAGCATTCTGCATTGTGCTTTTGGAGTCATTTTGGCTAGGCACCTAATTCTATGGAGAGTAGCCACAGTACCAAATCGTCTCCATTTAGAGAAAATGTCTGACTGTGGACTGATGAATGTCTAAAGTCTTTGAGATGACTCTGTGACCCTTTCTAGCTACATGCAAATCAAAAACTCTTGATTGTAGGTCTTCTGAGGCCTCTTTTTTGCAAGACATGGTTCACATCAGCTGATGCTGCTTGTGAACAACACACTGTTTGCTGAGTGCTTTTCTAAGTCAGCGTAGTTCCAAACCACACATCCATTCTCATTTCATTGATTGGTCTCCGGGCTTGCTAACACTTGACTCCAGTTGTTTTGCAGTGTCAGAAGCCTGGTGTTGCCATTATATTTTATAGTATCACTTTACTGAACACACCCATTAAACAAAGACATGACGGTTTGTGTTTTATCTGCTTAAAAATGTGTTGATATGTGACTTTGGTTAAGATTAGATCACATTTCATGACCTATTCATGCAGAAAACCAGGAAATTATAAATAGTGCCATCACTTTTTCTTGTGAATGTATTTAGGTTATCCGATCACTACCAGTGGGCATACAGTATGTCTTTAGGACTGGCTCGTGCCTATACTGGGAAAGGTGTGGGATTGTGCCTTGGCACATTTAAAAAGAAAGAAAACAAACCCACCATGTTGCAACTGGACATGTGCCCTTAACCGATGATTGAGAATAAGGGGACACTTACAAATCAAATCAAATCAAATTTTATTTGTATAGCGCCAAATCACAACAAAAGT